ATCACACAGGGACAGAAAATGAGCTTTTGTTGAGGCTCAGTAACATGAAATCAAACATTCACACTAAAACTCACATTAAGTCGTAAAATAGCAAAAAAAAGTGCCCTAAACACATGTGCACAGCATTTTAGAAATATTGCTTATCTAGCCTTAAAATGCGTACTGCAGTGGGAATAAAAGAGTTTCTGTAAGTTTATTTTTTTCGCTTATGGAACTCTGAAACGACTGCCGGAGGGGAGCAGCTGAAATGAGTGGTGAAGGGGGTGTGAGGAGTCCTGAGTGACGCAGACTGCTTTCCTTTCTGCTGCTCGCATCTAGAGTTCTGACAGTCTGATCTGGGTGGTGCCGGTGATTTTAGCCGCATGTTTAATGATAAATGAAGTGAGTTTTTTCAAGTTGTACCAGGATGTGATGTTAAATGTGAGGAGTGACCGGTATGCTGTTGTTAAAGCAAAACGAGGCACACACCAGTACCTGCTTCCCCAACCCCCCTACCAGATAAAGATAAAGATAAGGCAAGGACCTTAGTACCTATAAAGAAAGACAGAAAAAATGTTTAAAGACTGGACCACCAACCCCATCACCAAACCACCAAAGAGATCCCAGAAGAAATCTGGACATAAACAAAACCCATTCAAGCAAGACTTTATCGGGTTATGCTGATTTCCTCCATCATCCATGATGATACAGACAGAAGAAGCCACATAAAGTACATAACCTAAATGTTTATGAGAAGACAAAGGAGGTTACATAGAATATATAAACTGAATATAATATTCAGAATAAGTGAGCGAGCAGGCACAGATGTTGTTAGCAGGGCTATAATTAATCACAAATCACTACAGCAATGCACAGATGCTGTGTAGTAGCTCAGACCAACAAAGGATATTTAGTGTTTTGGCACGATGTACTCGGGCTGTGGAGAGCTCCAGCTGGGCAACATCTCTGTAAGTGAAGAGCCATTCCCTCACCGACATGTGGTCGCTTCCAACGACAAGCTGTAAGAGCAGCTTACAGCAGCTAGGTGCTGATGTAGCTGATTGATACTTTGACGGTTCAGGAGCTTGGCCAGCTCTGACCATCCTCTCTTGGAGTAATTATTTCTTCTCCCCTCTGATCGGAGGTAAAGGCTGCCAAAGGCCAAGAGCAACAGATACAAACTGTTGAATATTCCGTGTGCAATTAATGCTCTTAAAGAGGACATATTATCTCCCTTCTCCACCTTTTCAAACAGTCCCCTGTGGTCTAAATGAAACATCTGTGCTGTGCTTTGTTCAAAATATAACATGAATCAAGCACCAGAGGAGGTTTGTGACCCTGTATAAACCAGCTCTCTCAGAACGCTCCGTTTTGGTGTGTGTGTCTCTTTAAATGCAATGAGCCCGCCCCTGAGTTTTCCTGGTAGACATCACTCCTCTGTAGTGAGAATAAAAATGGCCGACCTGAGAAAAAGTTTTTTTCTAGGCTGGGGTCCATGGGTGGAGATACCAGGGGAGGGGAGGGGATTTTTTCTTTAACCAGAATCCCACTGTGACATCACAAGGAGAGCACATTTGAAACAGAGCATTTTTCTCTGCGTTGTAAGACTTATGCAGACCACAAACAAAGGACTGGATGGGTTTATTTAACATATTGTCGGTCAGTTGACACTCAGGTTACCCAAATAAATGTTCAAAAACACTGTGGAAGTGGATTTTTCAGAATATGTGCCCTTTAAACCATGACTGCACTTTCAAGCAGCACTATAGCACTTTATTTGTATTGCTCCTGTGCCATATCCGTAATTTTAAACAAACAGTGACATTTTTATTTTTCTAGGTTGTATTCCATTGCTAGTTGTGTTTTTTTCCACTACTATAAATACAATTTACCATTCAGGGACTATAAAGGTCTGAACTGAAATGAACTGGAGTTTTGAGAAAATATGTTGGTTTAACAGGGATGAGTGTTTGACTTGAATGCAGCTGTCGGGAGACTGAGTCCGGCTCCTCCCATGTTTGACTCTTTCCATTGGTTATTGTGATGCACAGCTGACTGTGTTTCAACTCACTTACTCATGTAAGCGAATGTGTGAAATGGTGATTCATCTTGTGACAGAGGCAGATTCTTCCAGTAAATATTGGGCTCAACATAAACGTAAAATCGTCGCCTAACAGCTGACGAAAATGCACTTTTGAAGAGAGGCGCTGCTTGTCAACAGGCAAGGTAGAAACTGCTTGGGGGCCCCGGGCCAGTAGGGGGCCCCAAGCAGTGGCTGAAAATGTGCAACTTTTGCAAAGACAGTAAACCTCCCTAAAGGGGCCCCATCTGACAGAACTCACTCTTATAATAGTAAATGACTGAATGACAATCGTCTAGCTCTAAATATTGACAAGAGTCACTTTTATAAGTTCTGCTAAAGTTCCAGCAACAAGAAGATCAACTTTATTAACAAATCAGACCTAATTTGGTCTAAGTTGATCTTCGTACAACAAGTGTTGCTGGAACTTTTTGACCACTTTAAGCCTTTCATTCTTCATGGCTCTTGGTAGTTGGTGAAGTTGTGCCAGAAAATCCTTTGCTTCTTCATAATTTCCACTAAAAAATGTGTTGGGTTTGGATCATTCAATTTTCTGCTTTGGGCCCCAACAGACTCCAAAATTGCCATTGCTTCTGATCAAGTTTTGAACATCTTTTCAACAGTGGCAATAGTTGCTTGAAAGGAGAGGGGGGTTGCAGACCACTGGTTCACTAAAAGAAAATCAACACAAGGCTTTTTAACCGACTTTTACTCTCGCACCTCTTCATGTAAAACCAAATTAACGGTAAAATCATGCAAAAAGTTGCATTACATTTAGTAGACACATTTCCTTATCTGGACATTAAACACAACAAAGCGAACAATATTAAATAAATAATGTTTATCTTTTAAAAAAAGGCGCTTTTTTTCACAGCTTTATTGTTTTACACTTAGCGGGATGACACGCAGCGAGTGAAAGCACGGATGAGAGTGGTTTCGGTGAGAGAGGTTAAAATAACAGCAGCGCTGCAGGATTTAATTCACTCTAAATTTGTTTCAGGCTTTGTTGCCATAGTGATAGCAGCGTGTGTGCTGAACTTCCGCCGGGCTGTCGTGCTGCTGGTCATCTCCGTGGCAACCATGTTTTTCCTGGCCTGGGATTGGACAATGGAACGCTACGGCGACAGGGTCTGGGAGGAGCTTCGTCCCGTCAGAGAGCTTTTTAGCAGAAACTGGTGTTGGATCAAATGGTGAGAAATGACACTCTGTTCAAATCATGTTGCAGTTTGAGGAGGGGGGGGGGGGACTTTTTTCACCGCAATGAAAATAAAATGAACAAAGCAAACCATTTGAAAAGAATCTGTAACTAATGCTCATGATGTGTGAGACACATCAGACACGTTGGAGGTTTCTCCGTCTCCTCCGATGGGGGAAATTGATCATTTGTGAAATCAGCATGGGCGCTGAATTCAAACAGAGCAGAATAAAAAAAAAAACAAGAGCAGGTAATGGCAAAGTGGAAAACGGACTGCTGCACGCTATAGAGCAAATAAAGTAGGGTAATGACACCAGCTCTGGAAGACTTCAGTGGCAGATACCTGTGTAGGAAATAAGTGAAGTTGACTATGGACTCTAAGAAATGCAACAATGAGGCAAAAATGTTTAGATGATTGTTTTTGTTTCTTCATCTGACGCTTTTTTTTTATAATTTATGTTTTATGGATTGTTGCTACATGGATAAAGTCCGTCCGCAAGCCTGACTGCATTTGGCAGGATTTTAAAAAAAAAGGAAGAAATAAAGGAATAGGGAAGTTTTCAAGATATACCTTTTAAATTTGATTTTAGAATTGGCTCATTTCATTATTCTAATATCTAATGGATCATAGATCAATCCATAGAAAATGTTGACCTCCCCCCCCCCCCCCCCTGAAAAAGTAATGTAGCGTCTTTCATTTCATTATTTTCACATCTCACCTGCCCCTTTACAGTTTTCACCCCTTTACAGTTTTTTTCAACACGTCTAACAGTTTAGGGTGAGCTTAATGCCCCAAGCAGCAACCTCTGGGGTTGAAATATGAAGCCAAATACAGAAAATGTAAAATCCTGCAGTTCCTCAAGTGACCACTGGAGGCTGGCTGCAGAAGCCCGGAAGTCACATACACACCCATTCAAAAATGCCCGTTCTTCCAGCAGAAATAAACATGTTTACAGCCTGGTTCCACAAACAGATCTGGTCTGATTAGCTCATGTCTTTATCGGTTCACACTGTACGGGCGGTGACATTTTTTATAACTCATCCCTTTTGATTTATAAAGGATACAAGTTTTATATAATAATGGACGTGGCCGATCTGACTGATAGGTGGGCGTGATGTAGCTGTTTGTCAGGAGGCTTTAGACCTGCATCAGCTCCAGCTCTTAGCGTGGTTCACCCGTGTTTTTATCGAGTCTGGATGGTTGCCCACCCCCTGATACCGCCCCAAAATCCTTAACTATCTATGCTCCTTGTTAGAGGCAAATCAACTATTTGGGCAGTGTTGCAACAGGCTGCATGATATGCATCTCAATCTGTTGCATTTCCTTTCGTTAGTATAGGCTACTTCAAATTTTTAACTTTGGACAAGCATCTTCTCTTTGAGTCCTGAAAAACTGATGCTCTCTCTCTCTCTCTCTCTCTCTCTCTCTCTCTCTCTCTCTCTCTCTCTCTCTCTCTCTCTCTCTCTCTGCAGGGTAATGTGTGTGTCGCTGCTGGTCGCCGTGGTGTTCTGGTTAGCACTGGACACAGCGCAGCAGGGGAACAGACAGATTGTGTCTTTCTTTGGTTTGCTGCTCTTAATCTTCCTAATGGTGCTGTTTTCCAAACACCCGTTTCGGGTAATTGATCAACACACACACACACACACAAACAAACACACACACACACCTGATGAGTAACTTTTTGATCAGAAGTGTGTGGGTTTGATTATTGTACGTGTTTGTTGCAGTGGTCTTGGCAGACTCTTCTTAGTGGTGTCGGGCTGCAGTTTGTGTTTGGTCTGCTCATCCTCAGGACCACGTCTGGTTTAGAGGCACTGCAGTGGCTCGGAAATCTAGTAGAGGTACACACACACAAACACGATATGATTCTCATGTTTCCTTCTTCTGTTTGTTTCACTTTTTTCTTTTTGTTTTCTTTTTGGTCTCCTTAGTTCATTTGTGTTTTTCTTGGTCATCCAACTTTCTTCTTGACCTTGTTGTCTTGCTTCCTTGGTTCATCACCTTTCATCATTTCCTTTCTTTTTTGTTTCTTTCCATCAAATTGTGTCTTTTGCTTGTAACCTTGTTTGCAACCCCGTTTCTTGAGACCATTCTCCTCCTTAATCTTTTTTTCATTGCCTTATTTCCTCATTTCCTGTGTGTGTGTGTGTGTGTGTGTGTGTGTGTGTGTGTGTGTGTGTGTGTGTGTGTGTTGTGTGTGTGTGTCCTTTTGTTTTTAGTAAAGCGAGCCCTTTACCTTCCCAAATCCCCAATTCATTTTGCTTCCATATTTATATAAAGTACCTAACCTGAGTCGGTTATCTTGTTGAATTGTCCTTTCTTTGTTTCATCCTGTCACTGTTTCCCTTTCCTCTGTCATTAAAGATTGATGCTTCAGTTTTCACCTTACTAAAGAGTTGAGTTAATTGACGCTATAAAAAAAGGTGTAAAATTCCATGTTTGACATGTGAGGCTCCTGCAGCGCTGTTTGCGACCAATTAGCAGAGCAGAGGAGCGGTTAGAGGAAATATATCTAACACTAAGACAAGAGTCATTGACCTTTCCATTAACGTGATTCTCTGCTTCAAACTGACACAAGAGTCTTTTCTGCTGTGAACTGTAATGACCCAAGGGAGCCAATATGTGCAGCTCAGATTTAGCTCCAAATGTGCAAAACGTCAGGTTCTGTACGGGGGATTTTGGCTTCACTTTGACAACGGGATGTGGTGGAGACGCCTTGTCCATCTTTATATACAGTCAATGGCACATTCACAAATACTTCTCATGAATCTCAACTTAACCTATAAAGTGTAACCTATTAAACAAATAATAATAATAATGAAAAAAAAATGTCTGACTTTTAGTTGACCTTGAATTCTCTCTCTTTAGGGTTTTATGTCATTCACCGATGTTGGGTCTAAGTTTGCGTTTGGTGCCAGTTACATGGACCATTCCTTCGTCTTTAAGGTACCACACACACGCACGCACGCACGCACGCACGCACACACGCACGCACACACACACACACGCACACACACACCTCTGAACAACGTCAGTATCGTGTAAAAAGTTATTAAGTTTCTGATATTCCATTTTAACATTTAAAACATATAAAAACATAATGAGACTTAAAATCAGTACACTATTGGTCCTCTTACTGTTCTCAATAATACTTGTGATAATGATAATTCAAATTAACTCTTTCAGGTGATGCCAATATTAGTATTTACGAGCTCGGTCATCTCCATCCTCTACCACATCGGCTTCATGCCCTGGCTGGTACGAAAGGTAAGGAAGAGGGAGGATAACATTCAAAGACTTGATGTACAACGTTTATTTCATTTTCAGAAAAGAAACTGTTCAGAGCTCCTCTGAGGAGTTTTATGTTGTTATGAAACAAACTTTAAAAGTGATGTATAAATATGACCTACGAAAGCAAACACTATAACCATCAGTGAAAAAGACACGACTGTTCCTGAAACTCAACTCAAAGCAACAGAAAATATGAATGTAAACTCGAACATGTCATATCCTTTTTTTTTAAGTACATTTTTTCTGCCGTAATCATCTTTTTTCCCCCAGATTGGATTCATAATGCAGGTTACCATGGGAACATCACCAGCAGAGTCAATGGCTGCTGCCGGAAATATTTTCTTGGGACAGGTAAACAAAAAAGTCAAAACTAAGAGTGGGACAAAGTATCTTTACAACATATATCCTCATCCTGACTCGTAGGAGACAAATGTCAAATTGCTGGCACTAATTATCAAGATAGTGTGCGTAAGTTGTTGGAAAAGCGTCTGTGTTCTTACGTCAGGTATGTGTTTCTGGTAATGGAGTGAGATGCATTTCAAGCCCTAAACTAAAGCCCCGCTCTGTGTTTATTTACGGTCTAGTTTTTGGCCAGCATTGCCGTGCGTGTTGACTCCGCCCGTGTTGTAAACAAACACTGCTGTCACTACACGTCTCCAGAAGTTGCTCCTCCACTCTCCCCCTCGCTGTGTGACAGATTAAACTCCTCCTATTTCACATCTGTGGTTTTAGATGTCTGCACTTTGGTTTACTTTTATCTTACTTTTTTCTTCTTTTCTTGTAAGTACTGTAATATCAGCCGAAAATAACTGTCCATAAACAGTCTGCAGGAGGACACTCAGACATGACCCGTTGAAGAGAGGGACAGACGTGTGCAGTAAGAACAGTTATTCCAACCTGGAATATACATTGGATCAAGTGCAGTGTTTCCCCTACCATTATATTAGGGGGGTGGCCTTTCCTTGATTTACGATAGAGTCGAAATCAGGGAAAGAAGTCATTTAAGGATACCTTTCCAATAGAACAGGACAGATTTCATTAAAAGTAACACATGAACACCAAGATTCCTTAAAGTGTTTGTGTGGGTGTCCGTCTGCCCACACCACCCCCCCATAGCTGTAAACCTAGGGGAAACACTGAAGTGTATACATAGACGTTGATCAGAAAAACAACTGGCATAAGCCATCACTCTCCTTTTGGAAATACATTTATTTCTGAATGAGCCAGCTCAGATCAGTCTGTTCAGATTGAGGTGTTTACATGAAGCATTTTCTGATCAGGCTTTTATTGTGTCCATGTAAACATAGATATGGATGACAACAGCATCAATTAGGGCAGAAGTCGTGGTCTGTGTTTCTTGAATCATATTGAGAGTTACCCTCAGACTCCCACCTCAAATAAAAACCATAAAGATCCGTAAATTCACTCACAAATCATTTGCCAAGCGCTTGTCCTTCTGTCCTTCTCTTCTGTTCCAGACAGAGTCACCTCTCTTGATCCGTCCCTACATCAGTGGGTTAACTCTCTCCGAGATCCATGCTGTGATGACAGGAGGCTTTGCCAGCATCGCGGGTACCATCTTAGGAGCCTACATCTCTTTCGGGGTGAGGCAGGGGAGGAAGGGGATGAGAAAGTAATTACAAATTCACCAGAATATATTATGATTTTTAATTTAATGAACAACCCATTATTTTTTATTAAATTGTATATGATACATGTGATAAAAAAGTTGATTCTTCTGTAAGATCCAAAAGTCACCGTAGTAAGAGTTAGTTTGATAAAATGCTGTTTATAATTCATCATTTTAAGTTTTAGAAGACTTTGAATTTATGATTTAGTGTCAACATCGACCTCATGGACTCTTGGCTGTCCTTGACACTGCACCTTTAAGTGCCTCATGATGATTGGAGAATTATTGATTGCTAGTTGTATGTTTTGGTTTTTTTACGTTTGAGGTTGAGGCAACTCACTTGTTGACGGCGTCAGTGATGTCTGCTCCAGCCTCCCTCGCCATTGCAAAGACCTTCTGGCCTGAAACAGAGCCACCCCGCGTAACGACGAGTCATGACTTAAAAATGGAACAAGGGTAGGACAACACATCACATGCAAAGATGTCAACACAACACACACATACATAATTTAAAGGTCACATATTGAACTCCTTTTCAGCAAGTTTAAATAAGTCTCATAGGTCGCCAAAACGTGTCTGTGAAGTTTCTTGTTCTAAATCCACTCTGATCCTGTATTTGATCATGCCTATAAACACCTCTATTTCAGCCCTGATCAGAACAGACTGTTTCTGTGTCTGTACCTTTAAATATTAAATGAGCTGTGTCTGACCACCCCCTCTCTGGAAGTGCTCGGGTGTTTTTGGCTTTCTCGCTCCATGTCCTATTGTTTACGGTGAGAAGGCAGACTCAGAGGGCAGAACAAACACCTAGCTGTGGGAGTGTCACCCACCAGGGGGAGGGGCTACTGCCCTTTGTGATGTCATGAAGGGAAAATCGCCAAACTGCCTGTTTGAGCATACATTTTCTGAAAAGTGGAGCAGGCAGGGTTTTTTTTAGACAGACAAGGGACACATATTAGAGTTAGAGAAACATGGTGAAGTGTTTTTTACATAATATGTGACCTTGTGACATAACTATTGATTGTGTAATGCCTTTGAATTATCCTTAAGTATGTCTGCTAAATTTAAGTTAGTCCTTTTCCTTTTTGATTTATCTGAAGGTTTACTTGTCTCCAAAGCTACTGTGATGAGCATTGAAAGCTAGCTACATTAAAGGAAAATAATTTATTAGTTTGTTATAATAGATTAAGAAATCAACTTTGTTTTGAAATATTTTTGTAGAGGGACAGTGTAATGTTGTCATGACTGTGTAAAAACCATTTGAAACAGCTATGAAGCTGTCCATGAGCTTTAAGCGCACTTGTAGAAAAGTCACATTTTGCACGAGAATTGAAATTGAAAATGGATTGTAGCAGTGCGTACACACGTCACCTTGGGGAATAGCAATGATGAAAAGGGAAATACTTACACACTGATTTTAAACCACAGATTTATTTAAACATAAATTGTAAAAACATTTTCTTCACAAAAACCTGACCAGGTTGACCAAGCTGCCACATACACCACATTAAAAAGTCCAATATAAGTACAAAAAGATGTACCTGGCAGTGATAATAAACGTTATTGGTCAACTTTGGCACTCATTCAAAGAAAATAACTTTTGGTGTTGTCATCGAGCTGGGATGAAGAGTACCACAACACCAATCACTTTTTCATCTACACCAGTATGCTGATGACACTGTGCACTTTCAAATAAAATGATGTTGGTCACAAGATTGAGTTTTAAATTAACGTTCAAATGCTGCTTCTGTCTCCTCAGAGAGAGTACAAACCTGTTAGAAGCGGCATCCCAGGGTGCAACTTGTGCCGTGGGTTTAGTGGCCAACATTGTCGTCAACATCATCGCCTTCATGGCACTGTTGGCTTTTTTAGACTCCTCCCTCTCCTGGCTGGGTGGGATGTTGGACTACCCACAACTCAGCTTCTCGGTGATTACTGCATGCTGACACGAAAACAATACACTGTAAGACAAATTGACCAACCTACTATTCTGTTGGCTGGATTGATCAGCTACTACAAAAAGTTATGATGGGGTTATATTTTAAAATACTGATAAAACAATGTTTGGTATTGTGTTCCACATATCGCATGGTCATATTGTGCGTTTCATATCATAATGTATCGTGTCTTATCATGAGTTACTGTGCAAATCCTAACCATAGTATCCAACCACTGACTAACTAACATTACAGTTTGATGGTGTTACACTTCACGATATGATAGGAAAGGCCTTATTTCCTATCTGTTGATGTTAGCATGCTAAGGGGAATGTTAGCTAGGAATTAGTTTAATGCTAATGTTAGCTTTCGCGAATAAACTGATTTTGCAAGTTCATAAATATATGCTACCAGCAGCTAAATAACCATTGCGGAAGTCCAAAATATTACTTATAGTTATAGCTATTAGTGAACTTTCCCTATCATACGGTGTAACACTGTCAAACTGTAATATAGGTTTGGGTCTAATGCTAATGTTAGCTGTGGTTAAACAGTCACTTTCGGGTTACCTAACAGGTTGTATTTACTTTAAAAATATTGCCCAATGTTGCATCGAAATGTCTCTTTCAGTTGTCTTTTCAGTTGGTGATCAACCTGGAAGTCTTGTCAGATTATTTTATAAGTCTTATACTACTGGAACACAGCGATGCAACATTAAAAGCGTTCAGAACCTGAACTGACTCCTGCTTCTTGTCTCTCCTTCAGCTCATCTGTTCCTACATGTTCATGCCTCTGTCCTTCATGCTGGGTGTTTCCTGGGAGGACAGTTTTATCGTTGCTGAGCTGATTGGTCTAAAGACATTCATCAATGAGTTTGTGGCCTTTCAGAAGCTGTCCGAGTTTATTCAGAGGCGGAAAGCAGGAGGGCCAGAATACGTGAACAACGTAAAGCAGTATATTTCTGTGAGTCCAAATGTTAAACTACCTATGAACACAAGTATGAGTTGTAATATGCTGCTTTAGTAGACGACCTTTAAAGTCATGCTGGTCTATGTGATACAGATAGGTTATGGTACAGAACTTAAAACAGCCAATTATCAACTTAAATTGTTAGCTTAGCTTCTTTTGGCAAAAGGAGGCTTATAATAAGGTTGTTATGAAATACTCATGATATCATACGTATAACAATATTGGGTTTATGATAAAATACAATTTTCTTGATATCATTTTTTATTTTACTTTATGAGTATGGGTAAAAGCTTTCAACTTCGACGGCTGTATAGAAAGTAATTAAACTGTGTTTTTTTTTATTATAAAAGTGACACTGATAATATCGTACAAAAAAACCCTTTTCAAACATTTTATTTTAAATAAAGAAGAATTTTAAACGAATCCCAAATCAATTAAATACATTATTAGCACAACTTAGGAAAATCTCAGAGTTGTAGCCTGTTTTTCTGGTATAGAACAGAAAGCTTTTGCAAGACACTGAATTTTCTTAAATCTTCTTTTATCACGTTTAAAAGTTGGGTAATTACAACCGCGTGTTAATCATCAGCCTGAAAACTTAAAACAGGAATGCACTCCGTAATCTCTATGGCTCGCTTGCACTCGTTAAAGCAAGCAGGGTTATAAATCCACTTCCCAGCTTCTAGACATGTCCCTGTTTTACGCTCTGCATCACGTTGGTTTTGCTATTTGTGTCATTCATCAGTTTCAGTTTTTGTCTTGTACATTATCCGTTCATCTCGTGTCTACACCCGCGCTTTGAAACAAGACGCTTTCTTTCTAAACCTCAACATTTTAAACCATCTCCGCTGCTTCTGTACGGCTCCCTTTTTCAACAACTGCCATTGAACAACAGAAGCCAAACACAGATAGCGCCCTCTGTGGGTTAAGATAGAGTATTGCAGTATACTTTTTGTCATGTCGATTTGAATTGTCTCGTATTTGTATCAATTATTTATTGTGTTGTGAGGTATCTTGACATCCCTACTTATAATTATTGAAAATGTGTTTTTCCATTCAGCAGCTGCATATGAGATACATTATGATAATTGTATGCTAACTTTATGATTCTCTTCCTTCAGGTCCACTCTGAAACCATTGCAACCTATGCTCTGTGTGGATTTTCCAACTTTGCCTCCCTGGGGATGGCCATTGGAGCGATGTGTGAGTGCCACTTCATGAGCTGATAGCTTTCTGAGCACAGACGAACAGGAACATTACAGTTTGTAGAATTGCTGGCTGATGTCGTAAGCACTAATCTTCTGCAACTCTGATTGGGTATTAATTATATTTTTCGTGTTAAATGACCCTATAAGTAAAAATTGGTCATAAAAAAGCACACAGCAAGAAATCTATGAGGTACACATGCTATTGAATGAAGAGGATGAAAATATTTTTTCTGGCTGGCATGAGTGGGAGTAGGTGTAAAATCCATCTGTTACGTTTAATCCAGTTACAACGTGTGGGCTAATGAGATGCTTAAGTGTATTTCCTTTAGTCTGTGACTGCTCTAGGCTGGGAAACAAAAGTACACACACACACACACACACATATATATATATATATATATACACACACACACACACACACACACACACACACACACACACACACACACACACACACACACACACTAGGGCCTGACCAATTTGGAATCTTTGGGTCAGATACTGATATTGATATTAAGGAGATAAAAAATTTGACACCGATATATCGGCCGATATCTTTCTGAGATCTATCTTTGATCTGTAGAGACAAAATATACACACTTATTGCATTGATCCCTAGAATAGCAGTTATCAAACTCTTGTGGGAAAGATATATAACGAAGACAAGATGGGTACTCAACTGGAAAGTAACTACGCATGTACGTTCATCACTGCTTGACACTCTGGAGAGTGATTAAGGCTGTTGTAATCCATATAGCGCCCTCTGCTGGTGAAAGAGAACTGCTATCGTAAAACAATGAAACTCAAAATGGTGAATAAATCTAGTAATATCAGCGCATATCTGTGATAAAAGTAGCCAATATCAATAGTCACTTGATATGCTAATATCGGCCGATATTATCGGCTGGTCGATTTATCGGTCAGGCTCTATAATAAACATAAAGTATATATATATAATATTATCCCTCTGGATTCTCAAGACAGCAAATTCACATACTTAAACAACGACCTCATAACAACTGTCACCTAAAATGACTGACTGAAAGTGTGAATGTGTGTTTTTGCTCGTATCAGAAAAAGTGTGGCACTCTAATTGACCTTGTTGAACTAAAGCCTTCCCAGCTGAACAAAGACGTAAAAGTTTCTGCACCAAAAAAAACCACACAAATCTGAGATTATAAGGCACGCTTTGAAAATTGTAGGTAAACAACAATTTCAAAAAGAGGGTAGCTTTTAAAAAAACTCAATAGTGGTGATTTTGGCTTCTTTCATACAGAATAAATTCTTCAGTCACAAGTTAAAAATCAACAAGTGACCATGTCCTTGACATATTCAATGAAGAGGTCATCCTTCAGGAATGCACTTTCAAAATAAATGATTTTTGTTGCGCACAACAATCTGGATAATTTGCAAAAAATTCCACAAATATCCGTTTTGAAATAAACTGAAAATGTCGATTATGGAGTTCAATAAAACCTCCACACATAATGTAGCCTGATGATGCAGACAAAGACAGAGAAGCAGCTAGGGTAGTAAAATATAAGATTATACTTTTATCACATTCTTTTTAGATATTTTTAATATTCCTAACTTTTATTCATTCAATTTCCAGCGTCACTGGCTCCAGAGAGACGTGCCGACATCTCCAGTTGTGGTTTCAGAGCTCTGATCGCAGGAAGTGTTTCCTGTTTCATGACAGCTTGTATTGCAGGTGACTCTTTACTCTTCAGTAATTGATTAATGAACGTCTGTCTGTGTTTTATTTGATTTCAGTTTAAAGCTCCTGTGAGGAATTTTCTTTTGGCTGGGAATGAAACAAACTGAAATGAATATGGATGCCTCTTTATGACCTGCAAAGGACAACAAACACAGAGAAGATTCATTTTCTCTGCATTGTTGTTTTATATTTCTGTCAACACTACCACGGGTGTAGGTGCCAGAATAGCATATTTTAAACGTTTACATCCATTGAAGGTTGCACATGAATCGTCATGATTTGTCCGTAGGGCCGAAATCGACACAACAAAGACTTCTCAGAAGCTTTAACGTACATCTAAATACTGTTTTTTTTAGTAAAGAAATGAACCGAACGTTGTGTAATATCTGTAAAACAAATCTAAGTAATGTGCTTGTTCTTTGTAGGATGTCAATGCACTGTGGTTTTTCATTAATGGATGCATTCAGAACATCCTTCATCATGTAACAGCGTGTAATGACCGTCATTATGAAGAAACTGAAACCAGACCTTCACCCTGGTTTTCTAGGTGTGCTGTACATTCCTGATCTTCAGTGCCCACATTTCCTGAGCACAGAGTTCAACGAAACCAACGTGACCCTGAGCTCACAACTTGTCACCTGCTGCGAACAGCTATATAACAGGTGAGTTATTATGACAGTGCGGACCTGTGAGGTATTGTAACGAGCTGATGTGTGGCTCCTGTTTCTTACTGTAGAATGTCTGTGTTTCATTCTGGATACTTCACCTACAGCTTCTTAGATATTCTCTGTACTATAAAACAGCTTGTTAGAATGAAAACAGCGAGATGAGGAAAGACGTTCTGTGATTCATCGAGTTTGTTTCTTCCGCAGTGTGACGGTGTATGAGCCGCTGAACGTGACAATTGGAGGAGGATTCAGTGACAGCAGTCTGCAGGGCTGCTGCACACTTTCACCCCCGACACACTTCTTTAACTGCAGCCTGGTGCTGTGAGTCACTGAACAAAAAAACACACACACCTCAATGGAGCCACTGTGATTTGTTTAAACAACTCTCCTATGTTCTGTATGGTGTTTTAATGCCTTTTAAGTTTTACTTTTTTTTATATTTATATATATATCTTATAGGGATAACAGCTCAAAAATTTCCAACAGTTATCAAAGCCAGAGAAATCTGTAATTTTAAAGAGGTAATGGGACGTGTCTCTAGAGCCTCCATGACAGACATAACATGTGTATCGTTGCCGTGGAAACACAGGATGTTATGTCAAACATCGCCACATAAGGAAGAGGGAATTGCTGCTGAAAGCTGCAGTATGTGCTGCTGTGTTAAAATCGTTATTACAAAGGTCGGTTTTGCCGGTTCATCTTTACTACAGTCAACACGGATTTTGTTTTTGGCAGAGGGTAGCAGAGAGAACTCCCGTGATTCCCTGCTAGCATCAATGCCATCTTTTGTTATTGTATTGATTGAGAGCCCCCTGGTGGTGGAATCTACAAACTGAGTATTTAAAGCTTTGGTTTTTGGCGCCCTCTGTGGACAAAGCAGGACCTCTAATCGCTTTGGAGATTCTGTCCTGTACATGTACAAGTAGTGTTTGCCTGTTTTTTACAAAGAAATGGAGGAGATAACAGCGTTTTTTTCATACAAGGAAAGAGAGGGTTAACTATGACTCCACATACAGCCTGATTTTTATCTCATGAATGAATGTCTGAGTCTTGAACAAATCTCTCCCTACCTGTATCGTTGCTTTTACTTATTTTCCTGTTCTGTATGAGAATAACTCTGGCAGGGAGTGACTTATTTTAAGTCACTAAGAAACAATGAGATGTTTGCTAAATGTTATAAAAAATGTATTTTATAAAAAAGAGAAGAAAACGGGTGAAATATCTGTGGCTACATATTTGATAGAAACAAAAGCTACTCTGACTGTCCTCTCTGACTGGACTGATTATAACAGTATTAAGTGAAAGCAGTTTATTAGTCATCCATCGGATGTCACTGTTGTCTTCTTTTTCTACTCTGCAGCACAAATCAAAGCGCACACTGGATTCATTATGCCACCAGTCAGTCAAACTGGCCTGGTTGGCAGACCAATTGTCCGCATGTCTGGCTCATTAATAAGGACAAAAAAGTGATCCAACCAGACTGCGCGGTGGATTAAGAGGAGGGTATCGAGGGTGGGGGGCAAATGACAGTCTTTTCATTAAATCGAGCACAAGCTAAAGGTCAGATGGCTCCCTTCTGGGCGGGCGGGAGGTGTGTTCACATGTGTGAATTTCACACACCCACAGAGAGGAACATTAGACTCAGCCATCAGACGCTGTCACATATTTTAAGGGTCTGTGTCACCATGTGTGCCCCATCAAAAAATAAGAAAAATCACAGTGAGCTCATTTTCATGTTAGGCAGATTGTCCGGGGGGGAAATAACATGGAGCAAGAAGCATGTCTTTCGGAATTTGTAGCATGATTTTGATTGTTTCTCTGTGTCAAGACCAAATCTAAAACTAGAGTAGGGCTGGGCAGCATATCAAGTTTTTAAGAAATATCAATATATATTTTAAACAAAATATAAAGTGAGACAATATTGTATAAATCAATATAGTTCAAAATAATAATAATTTTTTCTTTTCTTTTTCACAAACAGGTCGTTCATTTTTGTGTTGTTTTTCTTGTACATGTTGAGATTGTGCAGCAGGCTGTTTATAAAAGTGCCTATGTGACATTTTGAAATGTGGATTTGAGTAAGAACAGACTTTGTTTTTGTTTTTTCTTTATAGAAAGAAATATCAAGCTATATAACCTGTATCCCCATTCAGCTGAAAAATATCAAGATTTGATTTTTGGTCTGTATCGCCCATCCCTAGTATGGGAGATACAATCTTTGTATATTTTCAAAAACTCAATCTATAGTAGGTGGTAGGGTTCCTGTTCCTGGACCTAGTTTTTTAAATCAAGTAAATATGGAAATTTGCTTTTCAGTTTTAGTTTTTTCTCCTCTTGCCTAACAGAGCTGGACTGTGTTCACTTTAAAACAATTTGATTTATTGTGTTGTGATGTCAGACAAACATCTGCTGTTTGGCCAACAGAAACGCATTCAATATGTTTTTTTTTTTGCTGTTGTTTTACAAAATGAGGATGTTCACTTTTAAATGAATAAATCAATACTAAAAACTTGCAGTAAACCATTTCCATCACAACATTACAATAATTGTCAGTTTTAAATAATGTGCCTGTTTATATAAAATGTGATTTCCTCTTGTTAGTTAGCAAATGTCTTCTGCAGCCCCATAAATACAACATAATGGACATATGAAATTCTCGGAAAATATCTTGTGTATTCAGGTGTAGTATATATTAATTTATTTGAAATAGTCAAATCTTAGTGTTATGCAAATTTACTTTAGAGAAAAAAACATATAATAAAATATTAATCTTAGAAAAGAGTCAGTAAGATTTGTAAAAACTGTTGTGTGAAAGATAGTTTGTTAAACACAACATCTTTTGGGTACATTATATTGAATTATAGATATTTGGCTTTGAGGTTTTGATCAACATCAGAGTGCTTACAGGAGCAACTGATCCAGAGACGACGCCTTCTCACTTGCTTTATACAAAGCTTATTAAGCAGCTGAATACTGCGTGGTAGAAACGATGTAATGTTTCTTTTAGTTCTCATCATTCTGCATTCAGAGGCATTCTGTACCTGTGCCCTGAATTCAAGAGTTCATACTCTGACCAAAGGGAGTGCATATACAGTATGTACCCGACTCTATCTGTGGATTAAGAACTTTTACCACCAACAGACCTCAGCATGTCAGGCCAGGAAACAACATCCTCTCCACCATCATTCCCGACACTGGAGTACCCCAAGGCTGAGTCCTCATGCCCCTCCTCTACTGCCTTTACACACAGGCATGCACCCACCGGCAGCTCCAACACCTACTAAACATTTGCAAATGACACAACCATCATTGGTCTAATTTCAAACAATAATGAGGCAGCTTACAGGGAGGATGTACAAACTTTCTCCAAATTATTATCTTTACATTATATATGCTTCCTCTGGGTAATATTATGAAGAAACACTCCACACTTTTTATTGCTATGCAGATGATACTAAGCTATACGTATCAATAAGGCCTGATGACACCAATCAGTTGTGAAAACTAGATGCAGGCCTCAAGGAAATTAGGTTCTGAATGACCAGAAATGTTTTGCTTAATTCAGACAAGACTGAGGTTATGTTCTTGACCCTCAAAACCTCAGAGAGAATTTTTTCTAGTGATATAACTGTCCTGTCAGCCTGGCATCCCGCACCACTGTTAGGAATCTATGAGTTCTATTCGATTAAGATATGTCCTTTAACTGTTACATCAAACAAGTTTCAATGACAGCCTATATTCACCTTCGTAATATATTGAAAATCAGGCAGATCCTGTCGCAAAACGATGTAGAACAACTAGTTCATGCATTTTTTACCTCCAGGTTGGATTATTGTAATTCTCTTTTATCAGGCTGCCCTTTAAATCTCTAAAGACTCTATTTGAACCGATTTTATAATGCTGCTGTACGGGATTGCTGAAAAAGTTTTGCTGTGTTCTCTTATACAATGAAAATAGATGCCTATCTATCTAGTATCTATCCATCCAGTTTTGACATTGAGGCCGTTCAATTTAATTTTCATAGTTAATTCTACTTTAACTGCTCATATGATATGTAAGAAATAAAGGGGAAGTGAAAGGTGGACTGATGGAGTAAACGCATGTGGAGCAAGAAAAGAGGTTGAGTATTATGAGGCTGATGCGGGTGGATATTGGATTGTCATGTAGCAACACTCCAACCAGTGGAGAGGTGATTGAAGAGGATGAGAGAGAAACTGAATGATGGAGATGAAGTTGTCATCCAGCAGCACTCCAAAGAGCACACAAAGAAAGAGAGGGAGAGGGAAGGCCGCTGGGATGAAGGAAGCATATGGAGATGGATGGAGGAAGGCTGGAAAATAGATTGATTGTAACTGGAGTTCGGGAGGATGGAGAGAGAGGCACTTAGAAGAATGATTAGAAAACACAGATAGATGTGAAAGCATGGAAAAAGGATCAGAGGGCTAATAAGAGAAGATAGATAGATAGATAGATAGATAGACAGATAGATAGATAGATAGATAGATAGATAGATAGTCCGTTTTAGATTTTCACTTTCACATTTCAGCGTTACACAACCAAATTCAAATGTAAATAGAAATGCTGTTTCAACACATTAAACTTTAAAGTCTTTCCCTGCTCTACAACAGTAACATTCAAATTGAGTAACATTTAAAAATATTTGATCACAATATGCTTATATTAAAGGTACAATATGTAGAACTTGATTCCAATGTTTACATTCAAATATCTAAATTAATTTAAAAAATGACTAAGCCTATGTTATATATATTTTTATGTTGAGTACTTACATTACCTTGAATATTTCAAAAGGTTGTCAAAGCCAAAGAAATCCTTAATTTTATAGTTTGCGGCAGCCGCCATGATGAGCCGCCATGACAGACACAAAATAGAAACACTGGATGTTACGTCAAAGAACGCTGCTAATGAAGCTGGAGCTGCTGCTGTATGTGCTGCTCTGATAAAAACATCACGTAGATTATACTTGGAAACATGGGCGGTAAACATATTCTCTTTCTCAGGTCGGTTTCGCCCGTCCCTCTTGACTACGGTCAACACGGAGTTGTTTTCACCTGGGATCTGGGGTAGCAGAGAGAATCACTCCCATGATTCCCCACTAGCCTTGACATCATCTTTAGTTATTGTTTTGATTGAGAGCAAAATAGGAAAGGTGTAAAGTCTTGTAAAACATTTTAGACTGGAAATGATAGCGTGCTATCTTAAATCGTTAGCCAATATTAGCTCATGGTAGCTTCTTCACTGTTTGGTAGTTTAATATGATACAATAAGAAAGTTGGAAATCCTGAACAAACCACATTTTAGCAA